GCTGATATAGCTTTTTGTAGAGACGCTGATTTTGAATTGATTAAGAACAGAAAACGACTGTTAGCGTTCATATTGTTGAAATTAATACTGGTGTTTTTTCTATGAACTCTCTTAAATCGTTTCTATGAGAGTCATATAGTGGACATCAAACTAGAAAGCGTTTTTCGTTTTTTTCTACTCCCGACTTACACACWGGGCAAATCCTTTCATCGTAAATGAGATAAGGCCTCTTATACCTCCCCGTTTCTACTTCAAGCTTATGGTTGCTAATTCTTAATTTTGTAAGCACCACTCTGTGCTTAATATTGGTGAATTGACTTAAATATTCTTCAAAGTTATAATCCGTTTTGAACTGACGAAAGACTCTGAGTTTATTTTTATGTCTGTCGTCTTTCCTTTCATCATTGTCAACCAACATCAGCTAAATATATGACGTAACATGCACGAGGCCACTTTGGGAGGATTTGAGGACCACAAATAGGGATCACACCATGGTGCTACTTTTCAAATGACTACAATATCGTAATGTATTTTAATAAAGTGTTATTACTATTACTGTTAGGATTTGTTTTGTGCGTGACGTTCATGAAGGCATTGGCTTTTCTGTATTAGATAAACATGATGCATTGTGGTATAGCTTTGACACAAACACCACCATATGACGAACAAAGATGTTAGTACCGAAGCAATACCACAAGAGTGGCTCTAAATAACCCTAGGGATGCGATAGGGGTGCAAGTTAGCCATGCCTTGACTTTGGGGTGAAGCTCTTTGGTTAACCTATAGAGGTTACTTTAGAGTGCGATAGGGGTGCAAGTTAGCCATGCCCTGACTTTGGGGTGAAGCTCTTTGATTAACCTATAGAGGTTGCTTTAGGGTGCGATAGGGGTGCAAGTTAGCCGTGCCCTGACTTTGGGTGAAGCTCTTTGATTAAACCAGAAGTTATTTTAGGATTCGATCTGGGACAGTTTAGCTGTACCCTGACTTTGATCATCCCAGACGTTCTTTCAGGGTTCGATCAAATTTGAGTTACTTAAGTTGCTCCAATTGGAGAAACATGATGGTGTTTAATTAGACCATGGTTTTCAATGTAAGAGCGTTAGTATTATGAAGGGCGGCTTGTGACACAGCTAGCCATAGCCAGACACTGAACCTGCATATTAAGACGCGCAGTCGTTTTTATGACGCGCAAAGGTCTTTAATCATACTACCCTAATTCACTGGAAATCATGAATATGATTAGAAAAGATGCCGAAAACACCCAAAACATAACAAGCTATCAAAAAAGAAAGATGTTGGATGGATTAAAACTGAGAAAACCAATCAACCCGATGAACCAAAAAACCAGCAAACCCTGCATGAAACAACCTTAGGGCTAATGTGAGGCGGTCTATGGAAAAACTAACTCACCGATCGAACTGGGAAATTCACCTTTTCGGCGCTAGCCGTCACGTGGTATAAATTGTGTTGAATTGTGTTACGGTCACCAAGAAGTTCGGACATTGTTCTCGGATTCCCATACAAATTCACTGAGTTTAAAGAGAAAATTTAAATAGATTTCTTTAGTTAGTTCTCTAAAAACAAGTAAAATATCATTTTTCTAGCTTGATTGAAGCTTTTCTTATTGTTGTTAAGAGAGCTAACTAAAGAAATCTATCTAAATTTTCTTTGGGAATCCGAGAACTTCTTGGTGACCGTAACACAATTTATACCACGTGACGGCTAGCGCCGAAAAGGTGAATTAAGAATGATTTCATGATTTGATCAACCAATACAAAGTTTTGATTAGTTCTTGACCTCCCTACAAATATTTTGACAGAAAATAATAGAAATGCAATTCTCAAGAAACCGATTGAGTCACAGTGAGCGGAAGTTTTACCATAACTTTAAATAAAGAAGAGGGGGACGTGGGAGCGGGGGGAAATAGCTAAAGATGACAATAATTTTCAATCAAGGTTTAGCACGATGCTAACCAAAATAGGCTCCCATTTTGACACGCATAAGGAACTGATTTCACACCAATGATCAATAGAAAAGAAACCGACTGACTCACCTGATGAGCGGACGTTTTAGCATAATTCTCAGAAATAAATTAGTCAATTAAAACATTTTGCACTTCAGGGGGGAAAATATGTCGGTATGTGTGATATCGTGAGTATTCGAACTCTTAAGCGAATGTCTGAGAATGTTTTGGCTTCAGCCCACATTACCGCAAACTACCGGAGAATCCAAGAAAAATTCAAAAATCGTGTGCTTAACATCATTATAAAGTTATATGGTCAATTAGTTTTTACTTAATGTATTAGACTGCATTAACAGTTTCGAGTGGATGTGTTTTTTTATTAAAGCTGGGCAGTGTGGGTCAAGACGTGTGACGGCCAACTCCATGCCAAGTAAAGCCGGTGTTTACTGGGATTTTGACCTCAGATTCTTTACACAAATCCGCATCCAATGACGACGCGCGTATTATCAAAGCTAAAGTCGATGTTTACTGAGATATAGACCGAAGATTTGGTGTGCGAATCAGCCAATGTAACGTGCGTATTATCGAAGCTAAAGTCGGTGTCAACTAAGATACAGACAGCAAAAGTTACTATCGAAGCAAAGCGAGCCAGTGTTTACTTAGATATAAGACCACAGATTTTGTGCGCGAATTGGCCAATGACGACGCTTGTACTATTGAAGTCAAAAGAACTGTTTTCTGCTTGTAATTACATATACAGGTTGACAAAGCGCATTTCAAAGCAATCATCAGTTATTAATCACAAGCCATTTATCTTTTGAAATTTTATTCACGTTTAATCATTTTAATCGGCTTGAACTTCTTATTGTTTAATAGCTCATATTATCAAATTATCTTTTATCATTTTGCTTGATCACGGTATGGGCTAGCATATAAGTCCGTCGGTCGGTGGGCCGGTCGGTTGGTCGATCAGTCAGTCATGCGATAGGTTCGTCTGTCAGTCAGTCGGTCATTCGATAGGTTGGTCGGTCGGTCATTCGATAGGTTGATCGGTCGGTCAGTCGGTCATTCGTTAGGTCGGTCGGTCAGTCGGTCATACGATAGTTCCGTCATTTGGTCGATCAGTCAGTTTCAACCTGCATAATACGGACACTCTCTGGTCCCTTCGCAGGCCGCAATAGCATAATTCGTCTGCATGTAGTAAAAAAACTTAACTATTCGTAAACTGCTTCCCTTCCTCAAATCACAATAATAATGAATAGCATTACGAAAGCTAGCGTGATACCAGACATTGCGGCGCAAATATTCTGACTGGTCTACCTGTGCTCATTACGCAGGATTACTAACCAACGTAGAATAAACATCTTATCTTCTTAATGACGTACTTTTTAGCAATTTTGAGTCCATCTTCTTAGAATTAGCTGCAACCATCTGCTCATGTTGTTTTTGTTCACACCCCAAATATTTTTTTCACGGTATATCCCTATCAAAAACACAATTAAAAACCAATTATTCATGATAATATTAAGAGCCGAAGGTACTGATATAATTTGCGCAAATTACAATGAAAACAAAAATTACACCAGTATGTATCTTATACCACGGGGGTTTGTGAGGTAGCTTATTCCATGGTGGGTAAATATGAAATATCATCAGATGTGCCGTAAAAACCCGGTTTTAATGACTAGCTTTTTTATAACTGGAAGGTCTTATATCGTATATCCGGATGGGGGGGGGGG